GAAATCTGTTGGGGATGTGAATACAATATACGTCATCACATGTTGTCTGTTAAAAGGAGAGTGATCACTACGCCTGCTCGCCTATCACTCGCCAAAATCAAGACCCAGATAAGCTAATTATCACTCTGTGGATTCACACCATTTTAAAGAGGTTTTATTCATCACACAGCTTCCCCTTATCACTATTCAGGAGAGCAATTTCAAGCTTTCCAATCGTTTTCAAAAGACAAGGCTCAATACTTGAAATCGGTGAATTTGCTCTATGCAGGAAGAGTGCTTATCAAAATTCAAATTTAAAATGATGAAATTTCACAGGTTTTAGGTTTTATTAATGATCAAAACAGAATGGGTCACCACTAAGACAGTTTTCATGAAAACTGAAATATATTTATCAGATAGTCTTTGTTACCCATCACAAAATTACCTGCAAAATTTTCCATATTTTTTTTATACAATTATCTTAAATCTTTACAAATTCAGGATCAAGCCAATGACAAACTACATCCACCTAGTACAAAATTAGAAAATTGAACAAAATATGGCAACAAAAAAAACAAATCTCTGCCCGGGATTATGCTGTTCGTTGTGTTTGAGCCAATATGGAAACAGTGTTAGAAAAAAAAATAGTGAGGTCAGAATATTTGGAAAGCACTGAACTTGAAAAAAAATAAATTAAAATATTTGTTTTTGCTATTTGCAATTATATTGTTGTACATTCAAAATTTAATATTTCGTTCTAGGGTTTTCACTAAGAGCTATTAGACGAGAGAATTTGCTCAGCTGGGAGACACTTTCTCCCCTGCTTGCGAGTTATGGTAGGTGTGCTCAGGGAAAGGTCTTGGGTTCACAAACATATTCATTTTGGTGTCTGCTACTGTTGGGTACGTTAACGACAATTTAAGTAAATTCACATAACAAGTGTTCACGTTTATTTTAAGACCTGCAGCTTTTGTAAAGCATTTCCTGTTTTCTGCAATGACTTTTATAAATCATGAATCCAGGTACTCAATACAACACATATTGTATTTGCTCTGTTAGTATTGTGTCAAAATAAGTTGTATTTTAGTGATACTGTATACATAAAATGGAATTTTAGGTTTATGTGCACAACTAATAGAGCAGCATCAGTATTCATAAAGCATGACTATTAGTTTAAGTGTTTATTTTAGTTACATTTAATGGTACATATATATACATGCGCATTGAAATAAATTTGATCGATATTTACTGGTATCTAATTAAACATGTACCAGTGATGTCTGAATAACTAAATACAAATGTTATTGTCAAACCATCATAATAATGTTGTATGTTCCCCTGAATCGCTTTACTAATTATATCTGTAGTACATTACTGCATGATGGGAAGCAGCTGACATCCAATGCCAAGAATATAGCCATTCACTAAGTAATAATAAGAACCCCTCCCCCTCCCCACTTCCATTCCCAGTGTATTTCAAAATAATATGTGAAAGGATGTAATTTAGGTTATGTATTTTTTGTAATTTTAGCTTTGTATGCAAAGTTGCTACATGGAAACACCTGCAATGAACATGTACTTTAATATGTAGTATAGAATGATTTATTTATTTTTGCAAGGCCAAGATGATTGCGTATTTCCTTTTCAGTTTCAATTCAGGCTAAAGGCATTGTTAGAAATTTTGACTTTGAAATTAGAGACTTTGAAGTTGCTTGAAGACAAGCCATGTGTATTGTTTAGTATATTGAAAACTACATAGTTGTCACAATGCATCGTGTTCAGCTTACATACATATGATTATTCATACCTCATTTGAATGCATGCATAACCATTGACGCTTTATCTGTGTTAAAACTCACTCGCATCCACAGATAAATGTGTGTTTTTTTCCGATCAGTAAACTAGAGAATATAAATTTAAATGTTGCATTGTACTACGTTCGTGGACATCTTTTTTATGTGCAAAGTGGGCCTATATATTTACATAGCATTTCCTGACCTTGCAGAATTCTGCAGTAAAGGAGAGAAGTGGAATAATGCATTTATAATGAGCAGTAATTTTCATGATGATGTACTGCTCCAACAGAACATTGCAACAAATATAGCTTTTTTAAACAAATATAACATGGAAACTCGATCCACAACTTATCATTTGCAATCTGAGCACAGGAAAAAAAATCGATATGAATTGTTTTTCATTCAAATTAAAAGCAAATGCAATTGTCGATTGAAAATTGAGAGGCTATGAGCTGTGATGTGAATTCATGGAAATGTACCCAATTCTCATCTTAGCTTAGCATTAAACAGGATCAATATTTCAAGCTTTGACGGAAATTAAAAATAATTGTAATTTTTTCACTATAAGACTGCTGAAAACCAATTTTCCTGGTTTCTGA